GGGGGCAATTTTTTAATGTTCTTGGGTACACGCAAAAGTTTTTCGTGGATGTAGGAGAAAGGGTGAAGCAGCAAATATCCGTAGCTTCCTTTTTTCATTCTCTTGGGAAGAAATAAGTTACTGTACACATGTACCATGTATACTATTCCTATTTTACTATGACCGAAAAGGAGTATGTGAGAAAAAGTATGTATGTGTATGTGTGTGTTGACTGAAGTAAAGGACTAAAAAAAACTATTTTTACTGCCCGGCTTGTTGTTCTCAGTATTTCACTATTTATTTTCTGGCTTCAAAAAATTTATCTGTATGGAAGTTATTGTACGGTTCTGTTTTGTTTTTTCCTCCAGACTGCGTCCTCCTCTCTGTTTGGCATCGGGTCTCAGCAGACCAAACTTGTGCGCACCCACAACACCCCGGCCATCTCCGTGTCCCCCATCAGCAACATCCTCAAGCTGGTCAGGCTGGTCTGGGTTGACAAAACGACCGTCGTGTTGCTGACCGTGGATGGACAGGAGCTGAAGTATTCCGTGCACTGAGCTGAGTGGAAGGTTTGGGATGAAATATTCTGTGCACTGAGGCGAGTAGAAGGTGAAGAGTGGGTCGGGGAGTGGATGGGCATGAGTTGAGGGAAAGTTGGGGGGAGGGGGGGAGTGGATGGGCATGAGCTGAAATATTCTGTATGCTGAGCTGAGTGGAACGGGGGGGGAGGGGGGGTGAAATATTCCGTGCACTGAGCTGAGTAGAAGGTGAAAAGTGGGTCGGGGAGTGGATGGGCATGAGCTGAAGTATTCTGTACGCTGAGCTCAGTGGAAGGTGGGTGGACAGAGCTGAAGTATTCTGCGCACTGAGCTCAGTGGAAGGGGGGGAGGGGGAGCGAAAGAAAGATGGTGGTTGCACATGAGCGCTGAAATATTCTGTACACTGGGCTGAATGGAAGACGAAGAGGAGGTGTGAAAAGTGCGGGAAGGGGGGAAAAGATATAATGGATGTACATGAGTTGATAATATTCTGTACACTGAGTGGGGGTGGGGTGTTTGGCATAGATGACAGACAGAGGCTGAAAATTTTTGTCAACTGGAGTGCGGTGTGTGTGTGTGGGGGGGGGGGGGGGGGGGGTATATTTCTTTTGCTTTTTTTTTTTAGTTTTACTGATGGGCTGTACAAGAAAATGGATTTATTTTTCTTATTCACTACTGGAGTATATTCTATTTTGAAATTTTTGGCCCTTTAATAAGTAACAACTTATGGCTACCTGTAAAACTGACAAAATTGGAGTAAGAGCTTTTTCAACAGCTGCTCCCTCAGCATGAAATTCCCTCCCATCGCTTTTAATAGAGGCACCTTCTTTGATCGCTTTTAAATCTTGTCTAAAAACACATAAATTTAAATCCCATTTGACTAACTAGTTTCATTCTCCTTCCAGCAACAAGTGTGATCGGGAGTCACTATGATTGTCTTTTTGTATGTGTTGTCAGATTACAGGTGTATATATTATATTTGAAAGGGTCGGTTTGCATGAAAGTTTGATTTAAATCGTGTTTTATTGTGAAGCACCTAGAGCCAACATGGGGTGGGTGCTATACAGGTGCTCGTTATTATTATTAATTATTATTATTATTTGTATAATGTGCATGTATTTTAGAATGGCGTGGACAGCTGACCTGAGGGTGGACTAGCGGGGACATTTGTAGAGGTTTTCTCACTGATTCTAGAGCTGCTGTGTAGATGATAATCAATGGTGTGAGTACCTACGGTGGGAGAATTTGGTTGTGAAAAACTCATCTTACTATAATTTCATTGACAATGTTTCTTGCATCATGCAGGCATGGTTTTTCTGACAACTGATGTGATCAATATGAGAACATTCCCACTGGGAGGTTCTGATGTCCTTCCCCCCCCGCATATGCTCACTTTACATTCCTCACTTGATACTAGTGATGTCGCTCCCACCCTTCTTTTTCCTTTTTTTTGGGGGGGGGGGGGGGGGGGGGCTTTCTTCCTCTCCATACCAATCCCTTCACTGTTGTTTGTCTGTTTCATGAAGCAGTGTCAATGACAAAATTTGAAGCTATAGCTTTGCATTGGGGAAATCCTGTGGGAGAAACAAATATCAAATCTGACTGGGTTGGACTGAGTCTAGCACTCTATTTTTTTACTAGCCCGCTCCAGTTTGGTTGAACAGGAAAGAATTAAAATTAAAGAGTGGAGTTCTGAGACTGGTAGGAAACTGTGTTGGGAAGAGCATTTGCCTACGATTTTTTTTTCTGTAAAGGGGTGAGTTTTGTGCGTGCAAAGCTATATTTTCTGTGAGACTTTTTTTTTCTTCTGTTTGTAATATTGTTTGTTCCTGCTACATTACATCTTACAGCGTGCGACAGCTTCTTCCTGAAATGTGATAAAAATTGCGAACTGAGCGCTATCTTGTTCTAACTCCAATTTCTAACTTGGGGAAGTTTTTGGCACAGCTGTCAAGCCTGTTGAAAAATACTCCCTTTGGCTTTGAACCCAAATGGATAATGTCTGTGTTCCATGCACAGAATTTTAGTTTCATTTTGTACAGAGTCCCATTTTCATGACTGAAATTCAATGCGTTCAAAGTGATTTACATCAAAACCAGGTTAAAATCGAGTTAATACAAGACAGCTCCAAGCTTGCAAGATGTTGGCTTGTGTTGTATTGTCGCAAGCTGGGATTTCTTGGAATTGTTTTGTATCTGAATATTTTACACTGTAGTTTTTTGTCAATATTATGAGTCATGGTAAATACTTTCACACACTAGTAAACAGGATATAGCTTTTATTGTCAGTGTAAAGTACTCTATGGCTTGGTGCTCCTATTTTATTGTTTGTTACATGTGAAGCTGGAAAGCTTTTTGACCACCTAAGGCTTTTCTCTCAAGGTGAAAGTGGTGAGAGAGACTCAAAATTTGTACAACAAGGGAGCGTTTACTCGCATGACTAACAGTAATAACTACACTGGATTACTACTTTTCAGTATGGTTGAACCTGTCCATAACAACTCTCCATTGTCAAGGAGAAAACAGGTCATCTTAATGTTGTGGACAGAGTCATTATAGTATAGAATAAACACAATTGGGGAGTGGCCGTTAGTACAGGTGATTGTCTTATACAAGTGGCCGTTAGAACAGGTTCTACTGTATGTCTTCTTTTAGTCCTACATGTATTTCCCCCTTAATTTTCAGATCATATTGATGGTACTAAGTAGATTTCTTCATTATACTTTCATTCTTTGAACGTACTAGTCAGGAAATTTTGTGTATGTATTCTGTTACATGTATTACAATAAAAAGTTGATTTAATACAATTGTTCTTTTTTTTTTTCCTGCTTTGTTTGTTGAAGGAATTTTCTTATCTAACATATAGTCTTTGAGAAAGTAGAACGTCAACAAACAGACAAACGAAATTGCAGAACTGAATTTTTAAAAAATTACCAAAGAAGTTCTGATATATTGAGAATAAGGTCAGAAAGCTGTGATTGGTTTTTGCACTGGAAAAAATAACGGAAAGTTCAGTCCATGAACTTGCGCTGGGTCTGAAATGTGTTACCACTTAACACAGCTGTTAAAAGTCTCTAGCTTACAAGCTGCTTCACCTCCCAATTTTTTTTGGGGGGGGGTTCTATTTTCACGAGACTACCCCCTCTCCTGCAAAGGACAATGTATTTTATGTGCCATCATAGCAAAATCAGGCTCACGACAACATGATGAAAGCAAATAAACCCGCATCTTTTGACACCTCTTTTTACGTACATATCCATTAAAAAACCCATTTCTGTGTGGATTTTACTGAAAATGTAGATAAAAGGCACAAAAGATATAAATTTGCAGTTTCCAAGGATACTCCAGCACTGGAAGGTGCCGAACTTCGGTGGTCATTTTCTCTGTAATGTTACTTCTGAAAAACCACGACAACCCACCTGCTTCAAGCATAATATCTTGACTTCTATTCAAAATTGATGGGTATTTTTTAAATTAAAAAACAAGACAAATGAACAAGCTGTAAGATAAAACCAACAACTCCTTCTGCCCAGAAATTGAGAGCCTTGATTAAAACACATACAGTCAAACCTCGTTATACTGCCAGCACCATTTTTACCACCAGGTTTTGCCCATGTACGAACAGACACGCCTATATGTAAACATAGTACATGTATTTGTGCCTTTGCACCATCATCTGCCAATTGTCTGAGTTGTTGTATGGTCCTCGTTCAACTAATATAAATGTCTCTACCACTAGTCTACCATTAGTCAAGATGGCAATTTTGTGCAATCCCATTATACCACAAGCCGCACCAACTTTATGCTCGTCCCAAGGTAGGCGGTAAAGCGAAGCTTGACTGAAGTCACTTCGCCATGCGGTTTTGAGTAATGAGGAAATTGTACTATCACCGTCCACATCCAGATACATATTATATTATTATCAAGTTACCTCTTTGTGGCAACACGACACCAAGGTACAATGTGCAGTACATTCTGGCACATAACCCTATCACTTTCTTCTGCAGATCTAGATGTACAAAATTCGCCTCTCATTCAACAGACAATTTTCTTTCACCTCCTTTCCGGCTCTCATCTAACCATGTTCTGTCGTCTGTTTTCGTCTTCAATCTCTGCCCCCTCCTCTTTGCCCACCCCCTCCCTCTTCTGTAGGCTCCTAACTCCTTCTGCAGCCGTTCTACTGCTACTCTAGTTGGCTTCTTCTTACTGCTGTATTTCAGCCACACCCCTGATCTTAGAGTAGGTAAGATTTCACACCTACCTTTCTCAAATAAAGGCGAAAAAATCTCCGAGGTCTCCTGTGGTCCACTTGGGCAAAATTCAAAATTAATTCCTGCCAAACTGACAATGCTTACTAATGTGTCCTGTGTGCTCCTATGACCTTATGCCGTTGTGAGCACCGTAAACCACCTTTCTCTACCTCACTGTGGCCTGGCCATTTTGATGATGATTTCTTTCCTTTCTACTTCACTGATGACACAACTTAAGTTTCAGTTCTGCCTGCTACCTTGAGCAAAAGTCATTGAACTCTACAAAACAAGTTGTGCATAGATATATACTTTTATTGAGAGTGCTGTAACAAAAAAGGTTTTCAGCTCACGTGAAACAAAGAGATGGAGTGAGAGAGAGGTATGCTAGACATGTGAATATATTTTGCCCATATATATATAACTGTACCCGTGGTTTTAGGCACCCTGCATAATTTAGCAAAATTTGATCTTTTTTTTTGCATAATTTCTGATTATTTTCATTTATCATTCTTAGTTAAAATTAACAGAATCGCATAATTTCACATTTTTGGGCTCAGTCTGCATAATTTCAGAATTTTTCTTGCATAAAACGACCGGGACAGATAACTACATGTATTCACTGAAGTGAAACTCTTAAGTCTGAGCAGCAGCAGCACAGATATTTCCTATTTCTTTCGCTTCATTAATTAAACACTGTAAAACAAATCAAGCTCAACAGGTTGAGGAATGGGACACTCATACTCATGGTCTTGAGGTATAGTATTCGCCTTTCATTCAAAAGGTCCCGCAATTAAAACCTGACAGTAACGAAAAAATTGTCTTCTCTGATTATAAAGATGTTCTCCTTATACCCCCTTTCCTCCGTAGCTAGCGACTCTTTCACTACTCCTGGCTCCTTAAATGGTTGTCTGTCAGCCACACCTCTGATCTTCGAATAGGTAAGATTGAACACCTAGCCTAATCAGACAAAGGGAAAAAATCTAGGCAGTTCCCTTGGTGGTCTTAAAATTGAAAATTAATTCCTGCCAAAACTGAAAACATCATAGTCAGTAGATCTAATAAAATATAAAAAGTACCATTGGAATGGGGCTGCCTGACAGCAAGAGGCCGTATAAAGTAGAAAAAAAGGGTCACATACATAAAAAATCAGTGTAACGCAGATTGAATAACCAGAAGTTTAAAGGCCTACCCCTGAAACCCAGCAAGGAAATGCAAAGAAATAGATCTACACGTAGAAAGAAATGTTTATAGAGTAGATTTGGACCACAGTATAATCCAATTATATCGACACCCAATTTATCGACATTTTGACATATCAACATGTTATATAGACTTTTTTTTTCGGCCCACCCTGCTCTATCGACAGGCTTCCTGGGTACCTGGAGAAGCCCACGAACATAAATGGGGGAAAAGCCACGCTAACGGTCAAAGTCAACGCGTTAGTTCTTCATTAAGTTCATTAAGTCCGCATACCCGCCAAGTAGCCTATCGACACACCAGGCTTTAGTAAATCAGGTAGGGCCTACACAGTGTAGTCTCCAACACAGTAGCCTTCAGTGCCTCACAGACGTGAGCGTCTCATGCGCAGGGCATCACTTCCCTAACCCCGCTCCCGATCGCTCACTCCCCTTCCCCATCCCATTCTCAGTCTGTCGCTGGCAAGTGTCACGGTCAGTGATTCAGTGCCTCACCTTTCAATTTCCTCAGCAAGCAGCCATAAACAGGCCTTACAAGGGTGCTATAACAAAGTTTGCGCTGGTGTGTATCATGTAGTGTGCGCCTCGCATTGCTCGGTCTTTCGTACCGCAACTCCAACCCCCCTCCCCTCTGAATCTTGTTAGTTTCAAGAATCAAGGGAAGCAGCCAGCTTAAAAAAGTAGTATTGTCTTTTCCCGCTGATCTCCCATTGTTTTTCCTGCTTTGGCTTTATTTTATCATTTATCGACATTTTTACATTATTTTTATTTATCGACATCAAATCCACTTCGCATCATGTCAATATAAGCGGATTATACTGTACAGTGGAGTCCACTTATAACGAGTCCGGAAAAAACGAGAAGTCTGTTATAAAGACACTATTCTAAATCCCCGTTTTTTTCTCCTCTTTACCTTTGTAAATAAAATACTGCTATAGCGCTATCAGACAAACAAGAGAGTCGGTTATAGCGGAATATTCCTGCTGCTGTGCACAGTGCATAGACCAGTTATACATAATGTAAAACCTCGCCAGTTGAGAAACTTGGTGATCTAGCGAAACAAGGAATAGGAGAGCCAATGTGTGTCAACAATGAAGGCCGGAGCGACTGAGTAGGGAGGGTGTGGCGTGCGCAGACAAGCAGAACGCATCGCATGAAAGGCCAGCGTAAGCCTAGTTTAGATAATCAAGGCCTACCATGCCTCTCACTTTTCCGATGCGGGGATGGAGAGGTCACAGCAATGTGATGGATGGAGCAAATGTGTGACGTACGCAAGCAGACAGAATGCACCACAGGGTGGGGTGGGGTGGGGGGAAAACACAGCGGGTGAGTTAGCCCAGAACCTTTTTTTTCTGATCGCGAACGCCGAGCTGTCAGTCCACATCGCTAGATCTAGCGCTAGAGAAAGAAACCTGATTCGATTTTCTATCAATTAAGATCTAGAGGTCACGTTGAAACAAAATCCATTTCAGGGGAGATAGCAAAAGGAAATAAACAGAACACCAAACTCATAGATTAGGCCTACTTTACAGTTTCACTTGAATTTATAACTGGATCCCTTATTTATAGCGAGAATCCTGCTATAACGGACATTTTGTTCCGGTCCCCTCCCTCTCGTTATAATTTATAACAGGATTCTACTGTGTTAATTTCATCTGCCAGGATGCTATAAGAAACAAAGAATCTAATACAATGGGTTTTTTTTATTTTACCTTTTTAAACACCAAAAGGGCCCGAAAAGAACAAAATAATAATGATAATAAATAATGGATTGCATTTATGTAGCGCATATATCCACTTATGCAATGCTCTATGCGCTAAACATGATACATATTATGGATTTACAAATCAATTTTAAAGGTACATAGTGTTACATACTCGTGCAAACACACGCACGTACCACACACACATACATACACACATACACACATACGTACATTATGCACATACGCACATACAAACTCACAACGATCTACAGCTTGGATGGATTCTGTCTAATCAAAATATGATGAAAATAGAAATGCTTTAAGTTTCTTCTTAAAAATTTCTAGATTTTCTGCTTCTCTGATAGTTTTTGGAAGCCTATTCCAAACAAGTGGGGCAAAATATGAAAAAGAGCGTTGGCCATATGATTTGTAATTTATTTTAGGCTTAACAAGGGTTGTTTTGTCACTTGATGATCTGAGCATTCTAGGAGGCACATAGGGTGTTAAAAGCTGTTTTAGATAGTCCGGTGATAAATCATTTAAGCACTTGTAGCAAGTTAAACAGATTTTATATATGATACGCTCTTTCACTGGGAGCCAATGCAATGCTTTTAAAATAGGAGTCACATGATCATGCTTTAGTTTTTTAGTAATTATTTTGGCAGCAATATTTTGTACTCTTTGTAGTTGTTGTAACTGTTCATCAGGTACACCAGCCAGTAAGGAATTGCAATAATCAATCCTTAACAATATAAGTGATGTTATTAAAGTTTTGGTGACACCAACAGATAGAAATGTGAGGCACCTGGTGAAATCAGGCGCTCGTCAAAATACAGACATTGGAGAAACAAGCATTTTTCCGTCAGTTTGGACATTTTTATCGAATTTGTATTTTTGTCTCAATCTCTTTTATGTCCATATAAAACACATTTCCAGGTGAGTTTTATTGAAAAACATTGATTAAGGCACAAAATATGTCATTTTTCTGTTTTCAAGGACTCTTTAGCTATTGGAGTTACCAAACTTTGGCGGCTATTTTCTCACTAATATCACTATTGAAACCAGGCGACCTCACTTCCTTTAATCCCAAATATCTCAAGTTCTATTTAAGATTGATGGATATCTATTTCATTGAAAGCAAGACAAATAAATGACGAGCTCTGATTCCATCACGTCATGACACAAATGATGATAGGGTACACCTTATAATAAGTTATTATAAAGGTGACAAAAGTATAAAAGTATTATAGTATTAAAGAGACAAGGCAAAATCTGGGTGCTGCAAAAAAATGTCAAAATGGAAGATTCACAATTTTCAACTAGCCAATCAAAGGAAGGCTGACCGTATCTTTTTTCAGGACAGAACAGAATAAAAAGTCTATTTTGAGAGGGGCTATCAAATGTAGAAGGAAAATTCAGCAATCGTCAAGCAGCACCAGCACATGATGAGAATCTACTTTTCTTCTACCTCCCACATGAACTTCCATTTTCATCATACCAATACCAGTAGTGCATTCAAATCAACAATAACTTCCAAGTACATGTAGTCTTAAATAATTCAAGAAATCTGTACAACTACAAGAAAGCTTCCATAGACTTTGATTCAACTGATGTAGTCAAACTGACATCAAATCTCATCTACCAAGTAACCGGTGGTATATCAATATAAAAACCCAAAAGGCATCAAAATTCTTCAAGTTCAAGTAAACGATAGAACAGTTTTGAACAGCCATGACAGGAAAAATGCTGCCACAAGAATTCAAGACCAATTACAAAATACATATGTACCAAAACTTTACATTTCATCACAGTTGCAAAACAAAAATCATTCACTTAATGAGAACCTCCAATTCTTTATTATAACAGCACTTCTTCCTCTTTACTTGTATTCTTTAACATTATAAAGTTCATAAATGAACTTCTGAAAAATTCATTGAAAATATGTACAGTAACATAAACATTTGATTGACACCTTTAAATCATGTGATACAATGTGCACACAGCAAATCGGTTGGAACCAGAAATCTTTTCCTTTTGTACGAATTTCAAATTTCGTTATGATTATATAAATGGGAATAAAGAATGTTATTATGTAAGAGTAAGAGAGAAATAAGCTCACTATGACCGTGCTAGACTGTAATTGTAAATGCAAGTCCAACAGCATCAAGCAGCCTAACTGTTTGAAGAAATACATGCAATGATAAGATGCCATTTGCTCACTCCCTTGTGACCTACATGAATTCTTTTAAAAAGAAAAGACAATAGAAATGTTTAACAGTGTAAAACGGTGGTACTGCAGTGTGTATGTTTTTGTGCGAGTGTGTGTGTGTGTAGCAGGGATTGGGGGAAGGGGGGGGTCCCAATGTGACAAGAAACTCCAGACAGTAGCAATGGTTTTGTGGCAATTCTCCATCTCCGACTACCGACAGACAACAAAGTGTAAAAGTAAAAGACAATTCCAAACACAAACAGGGACACACAAGACAATTCATTACATAAAGTAGAAAATAAACAGAAAGTGATTTTAAAAAAGAAATTGAGGGTCTGTTTCCGACACTCTCAATATTGGCTGAGTACTTCTGGAGAGAAAGAGAGAGAGGGGTGCCTGGGGAGATATCTTATTCGATTGTTTCCTTAACATAGTCATGTCAGGTAAAACTATCCAACTATTAGCAGTTGAAAACTTCTCCCAAGGACAGAACCAACATTACAGGCATTATGCAAACATTCTTTTCCACGTGCCCATTTATCATTTTGCTGCTGTAATGTATTACCTTCTTGTGATAGAAGTTCAGGGGGAGGAGGGGCAGCTTACTATGACTTTTCTTCTATATTACAAAAGTTTTTCTATAACTCATAAATTTGACCATACAGCGAACCAAAAAGGACTCTGATTTCCAACTCCAAGCTCATGAGGGATAGAAGCGATAGGAATTGCTTTACATTATCTCACTAACCACACATGAACATTGTCTATCAATCTGTATCCGCTTGTATAAGCTGCACCGATTCTGTTCTACAAAAAATAACTTCCTATTCTCTCAGAGGCAAGCTGGAGGTGAAGTGAAAAGGTCATGCCAATAATGAGAAGACACACTGAAGGCCGAGAACATTGTTCTATTGACTACCTCAAAACTGGATGCTGTTGTAGAAAAAAAATGTATCTCATCTCCTGCTTCAAATTCACAAACCTTTGAGCAGAATTTGCATTTCTAAAGGACAATGGGGGAAAAAAACAAGCTTGTCTTAAATGAAAGTTTTGAGGCTTTGATAAAGAATGTAGCAAAAAATATTTCTTGGGTCTGTATTATAATGTAACCATGGTGCGAAACTGCTTGTAATACTAGTAGCTTTAAAGAACAATTTTGCTTGCTCCTTCTGAGTTTATACTCAGTAAGTCTTGACCCACATGCACAGTCAATATCTCAACCAAATCTCACTGGTACAATAATGGAAATAACTATAAATGTCTGGTGCCTTATTACATTTCATCAGTACCAAAAGGGGTTTGAAAAATGTGACTAGCCACACATATAAAAAATATCTCTTCAAGACACCATTTATGTCAACTCATATTATAAAGATTCAACCTTTTTCTGATTCATGTTTTGTAGTATGGGTACAATTTTAAAGAGAAAGACACCATTTTTTTTTTCTCTCTCTCTCTCATTTGAAGAGTTTGCCAATGATGCATGTCACAAAGAACAACAGGCCTTGAGGTAAAGGTGTTCGCCTCTCATTCAATAGGTCCCGGGTTCGAATCCTGATAGTGACGGAGAATATTCTTCTCTAAAATTTTCTCCTTTCACATCCTTTCCTGCTCTCTATCAATGTTCTGTCATCTGCTTTCATCTCCGCTTTGTGTCCCCACCCCCTCACCTCCTTTGCCCCCTCCTCTCGGCTCCTGACTCTTTCTGCTGCCTTTCTACTGCTTCTCCTTTGCTCCTTCTTACTGCTGTCTTTCAGCCACACCCTTGATCTTATGATCTTCTCAGACAAGGGCGAAAAATCTCGGAGATCCAGTGTGCAAATTGCGCATGTTAAAGATCCCATGGCATACAAAATTGAAAAGAGTAGGCTTCCGCCTCCACAAATTTCCTACCAACTGAAAATGTTTGGTGTGTCCAATGCGCTCATATGACCTTATGCAGTTGGAAGCGCCATAAAACACTTACCCCCAAAATTTTTTTTTTAACCGATAAGAGATCTCCAATCACAAAAAATGCATACACAAAGGGTACCCGTAAACATCCAGGTTTGTAAGTGGGGAGCAAAGGTACAAAAACATCAGTGGGAAGAGGGAGGGATAGAATTTCTATACACACAGACGCTTTTCGTGCTTCTACTGTTATAAACATTCTTTCTCTTTAAAAATCTAGGCCTTCGAGTATATGACCATAAATTATGCTTATATATACAGAAATCTATTATATATATATTAGGCAACTTGGAAACACATGTGTCACTTTTCCTATAAAACTACAACAGCTACAGAGTTGAAAATTGGCAAGTACCTGCAAAAAGATAGATAGGTCCCCATAACCGAGCCCGATTTTTTATTTATTCCTTTCCTGAATTTAGAAAAATATATTAGACAAAAAGTTCTCGTCCTTCTTTGGCCTTTGTGATTATTCCATTGAGAAACAAAACAAATCTGCGTAGCAGTCCTTCACAATGGAAGTGCCGGAAGTGATATTTCGCGATGCGCATTTTGTTTTGAGAGCACAGATCTGGACCTTTTAATTTTTTGCATCTTTCAGGATTTATTGCTCAATTCCAGTAGGCCAATGACTTTCAGTTGATGTTTATGCACCGATCATTCCTTTCATCAAAAGGGGGCCAGCTAGTTATAAATAATAGTAAAAATGACCCAAATGGCGCAAAAGCATGCTTGAGAACATGGCATGTTTTTACACAGGGTACGTTTGACTAGAAACAACTCGAAGTCTGAGGCCCAAAAGAAAATTTCACAGCTTCTTTCGTCATTTCAGTTTTGGATACAAACTGGGAATTCATCTTTGACTTTGTGGAAAAGGCTAAAACAGCACAGTTCTAGCCAGATGACTCCAACAAGGTCTTCTGAAAATACTATAAAGTGTATGTGGCAAAAGCTTGGGTGGGTGTAGTTGTGTCCTGCTATCCTTCCTTTGCCAAGGTATCTGTGAGAAAGGAAAGATAGAGAATAATAATAGCATCAATATTCTTCGCGGCAGTGTAACTGTACTTTCATCCTTCATTATGTTACTACTCTGTTCATGAGCTATTATGCACAAACCAAAGGAGAGAAGATGAAAGAAATAGCTGAGCCCATGTCTCCTGCCATTGTATATGTACTTTTCTTTCTTTCAATTTTGCCATTTTCAGGGACCAGCATCTGAGGTGTTTTGGGTTAGTTGCCCTGCACGTAGAGGACTTAAATTCAATTCTCAGGTGGGGACATTTATTCTATCAAATATGTGAGGCAATGTGGAGAAATCAGGCACTCGTCAAAATAATGAAATCAAAGAAATCTGTAGTATCCCCCCTTTTGGCAATTTTTATTGATTATGTTTTTTAGTTCAACACCTTGTATGTCCCTGTAAAAACACATTTCTGTGTAGATTTTACTGGAAAATGTCGATTAGAGGCCCAGAACATATGTACATTTGCAGTTTCCAAGGACATTCAATCTTTGGAAGACATCAAACTTTGGCAGTTATTTTCATGCTAATTTCATCTCTAAAACCAGGCAACCCCAATCCCCTTCAATAGCAAATATTTCAACCTCTATTCAAGGTGCACGAGTATTTTTTCATTGAAAGCGTTACAAACGAACAAGCTTTAAGACGAAATCAATAACTTCACATGCCCAAAAATTTACAAGCACTTGAATCCACCACGTCATGACCCACATCCCTGTCAATTTTCTGGAAGGTTGTATCCCAAACGACTGTGTAGACCCTGAAACTGAAAGGGAGGGTCAAAGCAGCTCGCCTCCTAAATGAACTAAAATGGATAGATGGGGACATAAAACCGAATGTCAAACAGCACAAAACTAGTCAAATGAATTCACTGACCCCTCGGGCCTTGATCCTGTGTCAATAAAGTCATGGTCATGGTGGTTTGAGAAAATCATTCTGAAAGACTTGTCTTAATTAACAAAAAGCCTTGAAGTTTGGGGAAAAACTTTCTTTGCCATATTTTAGATACAGCACCAAATGTAATACCATCGATAGAATTTCATAGAAAGCTAATGACAAGAGTGCTGAAGGGAACTTTTTACTCACACAAAAGTCTTCTCTTCCTCCTTCCTCCCCTCCTCTTCCTCTTTCCTCCTCTCCTCTTCCTGCCTAGTCCTTTCCTCCTGATCCTCCCTCCTTTCCTCTTCTTCCTCTTAACTCTCAGCAAAGGGACAATAGGAAAGCATTTAGCCTTTAAAGCATTTGTCAAGAGCAAAAGGGGTTTGCACGACGATTTGGATGCTGAACTACGATTTTTTAGCCAATCAAGCCAATGGAATATGATCTGAGCCTTGTAAAACATAAGAAATTGGAGGTAGGGTTTTTTCAGCAGCCCCTCCCTCAGTGTAAAATTCCCTCCAACTGCATTAATTCTTTAACCATGCAATTTAAAATCATGTGTCCGCGTAATTCTCTCGTGTTTGCGGAAAAGGGACCCAACATATTACATTATAAAAACCGCTTGTTTCGTGTCAAACTGATCAATAAAGCATTACCCAGATGAAGAATTCATTTATCTTTGACTTGCGGATCAAACTAAAGGCAAAGGCTTGTTAGCTCGAGCATTTTTTATATTCGGCCCGTACCATAATACAATAATAACTTCGCATTGGATGATGGTACCGTCCAGCCATGGTTACGGACCTCAACTACCGGACGCTGCAACCGTCCAGGCATGGTTAAAGAGTTAAGAGAGAGACCTACTTTGACAACATTTAAATCTGGTCTAAAAACATTTATTTCAATCTCAATTGACTAACTAGTTTTATTCTTCCAGCAGCAAGTGTGATCAGTAGCCATAGTGATTGTCTTTTTTGTGTAGGTGTTCTTTGTCAGATTACGAGAGTACATTATGTATTTGAAAGAATTGCTGTTTGTTGAATGGGCCAGTATGCATGAAACATTGTTTTAAATCTTATTTCACTTTGAAGTACCAAGAGCCACCGGAGAGTAGGTGCTATAGTAGTAATCTTTATTTTTATTATTCTTATTCTTATCATTATTATTATTATCATCAACATTACTATCTGAAAGTCAATTAGACAAAAGAAATATGATCTACGGACGAGTAAGTCAAGCAATAAAGGACATACGAATTTTAAGACAAGCTGGCATTTGAAATATGATTTTTCTGTAAGTCCGACAATTTATGACTTCTGAGAAGATCAGGCAAATGAAATACGATTTCTGATTTAGTCAGGAAAATGCTGAACATACCGTGCCAAGCAACTGTTCTGTGCCACATTACTCCTCTCAAAACAATCGTGCGGCACCATAAAAGGCTGGCGAAGATCTGGGTTATTGTCGTTAGAACAGAGAAGTTCATGGTAGCTTTCTTCATTCCGGGTCTCATCCATTTCAATCAGCTGATAAACTGTGGTCTGATCAGCCCCAGAGAGAATAATAGGCTTGTCTAAAGACACATGAAGACTGACATATCCTGCGGGAACATTCGGATCTCCCTGTGGAAAGACAGACAGAAAATGCAAACTTAACAAACACTGCAAATAATATCAACCGCTGAAAACACATGTTGTGAACATTAACACTTGTAAATGAACATGTTAACCCTTTTCCAATCAAGTAAATTTTCCACAGGTAGTATCCCCTGCCTGAGTGAACTTTGAAAAGTACAAGCTTACATGCTGGGACTAGTGAAAAGTGGCGTTTATGGATCATCTGTAAAATTCCTGTCAACATTTTTTTATTTTTCTCTCTCCTAACTCTTTTCATTGTTTGCCTACATTGACCAGGCAAATGACCATGCTCTCTTTTATCACCATCCTGCCCCCACATACTACGTCTTTGTGAAGATACCTCGCTGAGGACCCTTGGCTTTCACAAAATATTTATGCATCATGATGCAGTGAAAACAGGCGCTCGTAAATCTTTGGGCATGTGAACTTAACTCATTCGCTACGCTGAGCCGTGGGGGCGGTGCGGCTAAAGTGCCGTCAGTACGCTAAGCCGCCCCTCCCCCCCCCCCCAGGCGGCTCGAGCATCGACCTATAATTCTAGCTTAGATTTTATGCCTATCCACATATCCATGTTACAATAAAGGTTATAATATAACATTGACTTCCGGGTCAGGCGTTTCTACTGAAAATCGGAAGTTTAGATTCACTTTTGAAACGCGATTTCGTAGTTTATGCGACTTTCGTTTTATTGCGAAGCGCAAATTATAGCCCAGACACCAGTCTTAGTACTTTTACACAACAAAATGTATCATTATTTTTCTCACTAAAGAAATGTAGGACTCTTCTTTATAATATTGATACTATTGGACTCATATTGCCAATGCACTGTTATTGAGAAATCAATATTTTTGAGTTCTATATCTAGGTCTAGATCTAAATTGTCAAAATATTTTTTTCTCCCCAAAATCACTACTTTTTGGTGAAATTACAAAAAAAAGTACCACTCAAGACATGTATAGGTTTATTCCAAATGCAATTCTGAATAATTCCATATAAGATACAAGTGTTTTTTTCTGTTTGTGAATGCATCTTGTCCTTTTTTCAAGATTATAAAATCTGTTTTATTTTTTTTCAATATCAGATGTTATGATCCAAAAGTACACATTTTAAGGACTGTAAGCAAATAACTGCAAATTTTTCAATATTTTCCAGTTCTATATTCATTTATGGTTATTTTGATGTATCATTTGACAAGGTGCAAACATATTTTTGAGTTTCACCAAAGATTATTTGTTTTTTATTTTCAAATTTTATCTGTATCCAGGCAAAATCGTGTTGCCTCTTACAGGAATCAAAGTAGAAAAATACCCCAAAAAATATTTCAGATGTATTCTACAAACCATACTGAAAAATTTGGTATATAATATGTTGATATTTATTTGAATAAGTGGCCCCAAAGACCTTTGAACTGCGCTCCTCATCTCATTTCGCCCTCCCGAAAAAATTCGTCCACACGCCGAAAATAATACGTAGCGAATGAGTTAATGAAAAATCTTAACTGATTCAGCCCGCACTGCTGCTCACGGCAACCAACTGTCTCTTGTGTTTTGATGCAGAGCGGCTCAGAGCAGCTCTATCTATTGCTCCCTTTTCTTCGCATCACTTTCCTCCCATCTTTTTTCCTCACTGCTTACATTTCAGCCCTTTGTTCTAGTTTCATTGAATAGTATTTTGTATTCTGGACATTTTTATATGCCACACATAGGATTTATCAAATTTAGATATTTCTTTATTAATTTTATGTGAGACCACCTGTGAGGTCTCGAAGCGGTCACAAATTATTTGCGTCTTGAGTCAAAATTATCTGCAGGCTGGATAAGTTAAAGCCTATTCATTTGTCTTACTTTTGAAGAAAAAAGACATCTATTTTTAGTAGAAATTGAGATATTTGCAATTGAAGGAGGTGGAGATCGCCTGGTGTAAGGTAAAATTAGCAAGAAAATGGCCTCCAAAAGTTTGGTTACTTTTAAAGCTGGAGTGTCCTTGGAAACTGCAAATTTACATTTTTTGTGCCTTTGATGAACATCTTTTAGTAATATCCATACAGAAATGTGTTTTTAAAAGGACATAAAAGGTGTTAACCCCCTCCCCCCACACAAAAAATCAATAATATTTGCCCAATGGGCAGAAAGATGTAAGTTACTTAAATTTCGTTACTTTGATGAGCATATAACTTCAACCTGATGCCAAGAGATTGATTTTTTTCAATGCCTTAAGGGACTTCATGCTCCATAGTGAAAACCCAAACTCTTTGACATCACAGAAGGTTTGCACTGACATTTGGAGGGTAAAAAATGACCAGTTCAACCTACCACTATCTTTAGCCCCTCTAAGTGGTATGGCTCGGAACTGCTCATCATAAAGTAGAGAATTTCTGTGCCATGAGAACCGTAGTCTCCCGTGTACAGGCCAAGGCTGATGCGACTTCTCTGTTGGTACTCACTGGTCAGGGCTGGGAGGGACAGCAGAGGGCAGTTGAACCTGAAAGTTGAGAAACTTTGGTCAGACCAGAAACTCAGACAAAACTAGTAATTGTGGAAAAGTGAATTGTTTGTTTTAGTGGTGGTTTTACGTCACTTGCTACACAATTAGGTCATATAAGTGCGGAATATTAGAGCTGTTATAAGCGAAAAACAAACACAAAAAAAAAAGGAGGAGAGGAATAATAATGATAGATATTTCATGAGAAACAAGGAGAAAACCACATTAGAGCACCCACTAACCACCCACAGAGTGTGAGTAGACATAAGCACATCGACATGGTAAAGGTCACTTAGTGTGAGGACAAAGTTCAGACAGAAACAACAGTGGTTTGAGATAAAGTTTAAAAGAGAAGTGAATCAGCACAATAATAACACAATTTCACTTAAAGTTAAGGGAAAAGGAAGACAGACAGACAGACAGACAGAAATTAAAGTGGGAAAGAAAAGAAATAGGACATACCAGTGGCACCCTCCAACTATCCGATCCACATAGACAGTAAAACAGAGGGAAAGAAACAAAGCCGGACCTACCAGTGGCACCCTCGGACTGACCACACAATAAAGGACAGGCTAAACATTTCAAACCCTTAACTGGATTCCCTAAATTGACAGTCAGGAGACATGAACCGATTCCGGTTTTCTCTTGAATCTAGACGTTGGCATCTATGCAGCAGAAGTCTTGGACATGGACTTACTCTTTCATTTGTTTGAGTATTTGTTTTAGCACTATCCACACAATTTGGTCAACTTACCCACATGATAAATCATGGTCCTCGAAAGCACCTGGGTGGTCATTGAAACCACGTCTTAATCGTGGATCTGACTGTCCATACTTTGGCTTTAAAGGCTTACCCTGGTGATAAATAGATGTGTGTACAAGTGAATGCATTCTGTAAAAGTCTTGTTTTATTATAAAACCTGAAGTATATACCCAAACATCTTATCCCAAGCTACCTCTTTAGTGCGGTCAAAAATTCATGGTGCAACCTATCCTCAAATATCTTTTTAACAGGAGAATCAATGTCACTCATACTTTGTTAAGCAGTATGTATTAATTTGTCTAAACTAAATCATATTTTTCAACAACAACTGAGGCTAGATTAAACAACTTTCCTTCACAATTATACATCAAACACTACAAATCTTTGTCACGTAAAAAAAAATGGGAGTGTTCACAGCACTTCCCACTTCTCACACACATTTTGATTCTCATTATGGCCTATGTCACAGCTCAACAACGACACTTTTTAGCTGCAAAACTTTAGCCCATGCATGACAATTGAAATTGTCAAGAATTTCCACTCCTATTTTCTAATTCATCTGCTAAGGAGCAGTATACTCCTCTGCAGTAGTGATGCCAGTGCATTTTGGTTTTAAAAAATAAGAAAATGTAATCATTCCTGGTTGCAAAATTGGAGTGGAACAAAATTCAAGTTTCTTTCTGTACCATTATAAATGTGTTACCAAAAATTATTATCATAGTGAACACTTTCCTTGTACTAAAGAATAAAGTTTCTCAAAATATGCATTCAATAAGAATATTGTCGCGATCAGAAGAAAGGACAGACTTGCTTTTTAAAGTGCTATTGTCCCAGATCATGGGATCATCATCATTGCCTTTCTCACCCTGCACAAGGGTATAGGCCATGGACAAACACTTTCCACCTTACTCTATCCTGGGCTAGCCTCTTGATGTCATTTTGTGTCTTCCCACTTCTCTGTACATCAATTGTGGTCATGGCATGTAAACCTTTTAAAATCTGTAGAAACCACCCATTGGGATTTTTTAAAGGTATTTATTAACGAATTTTCTAAAATACAGCGACCAAGTGTTTACAAAAATATTGATCTGTTAAAACAAATCGACACAAGCCCCTGTGCAAAAGTCGGAGAGTCTAGGTTCCATAGTTGAGGAGATATTTGACAAGTTATGCCACGAATATTTGACTCCTACTATAAGCTCAGATGACTCCTCTACGTCAGAGAGATAAAATCAGAAGAGTGGCGTTCTCCACCCTCCAACCTCCCCCCCAATCACCCCAAGGCAATGAGCAAACAAGTCAACGAATAAAACAGCACATAATGTCTCAAGCACATACACTCATCATAACACATCATGTTGGATTCTTTCTTTGTTTTACATGTTTTAATTCTTGCCTTTTTACAGTCCTTTCATTTTCAAATTTTAAAATCAACTACAACATTTTCATAGGCATTTCGCTTTACCAGCAAAAACCAAAATACAATAAGAGCAAAAGAAAAAAAAATCACATCCTATATTAATCTTAACACATCTTCAACTCCAGACAGAAAACACAAACAACCCTTCTGATCTTCACACAAAACACTTGCAACTCCTTGAATTCTGACAAGAAACACTTACACCTCTTTTGTTCCTAACATGAGACTCACGTCGTCCTCTACAGTACATGAGGGGATACTGTGGATCCTGAAATGTCAAAATATGAAATTACGATATTCAGTGTAGATTTACAGAATCTGACTAACATATCTTTTCTCTGCTTCTCTTCTTTTTTCAAAACTCGCATGGATGCAGTAGTTATAAACACTGACTGCAGTTTCAACCCAACAACTCACTGAACACAACAACAAGACATCTAGCTCACAGGGAACAAAAACTAACAAAAAATAATCTCTTATACAGAACCTGATTCAACAATAAAATACCGTCGTACCTGCTTTAACAACCACCTGTCTTAGTCGGTCACCTGTACAAATGGCCACTTCCCACTTTCCCTCTGGCAGGGTTCATACTGAGAGGGAGACTTTCTTCCCAAGACTTTTCAAAGAGTTTTGAAGACCATATTTCTTTTTGCCGAGACAAATAAGTGTCATTTCAGAAGAAAAGTTTTTGTTCCCTGCCTGAATAACCTCACTTGACCAGATATTTTGTCACAGCTTTATTCCGAATGCAAAAAGTCGAGGCCTTCTAAACTTCGAGAAAACATTTTTACAATAGATCCAGTTAAAAATTTGTTTTTCCAAGATTTTTCCTAGAATGTTGCCAATTTCCCAAAATTTCAAAAGTTTTCCATGTTGATCTGTGAAAATAAAAACGAAATTCCAAAAGTTATCCAGTTTTCTAAGACCTATACGAACCCTGCTCTCGCATTTTTTCTACAACATGGTGACACAGCCCAAAGCGTCCACCTGTCTACACGGCGCACTAGCAGAGGAATTTTAATTGCAGCGGGTGGTAAAATACATCTATACACAACAAATGAACAGTATCTTTTACACTCCAGAAATTTCTTACTATTCTTAAAAAGTCTAGGTTTTGTAAGTTGACTTAATAACAGGGATGACTTCTCACAACTGGGTTTTCAGAATACTTTCTAGCTTTCCAGTGACACTGAATTAACACCAGACTTTTCCAGCTTTTATTTTCATTTCTATGACCATGGTCAATCGCACATCTTTCTTGGTTGTATGCAAGCTGCCACAGACACAGCATAATTATGATCAAAGGCAAAGTACCTTACTCTTATGTATTTACTGGTAAGGCAAGAGCCAACAGAGTGTGTATTTTGTCAAAAAATGTAAACGGGCACTTTCTTCTCTTATAACTTAACTATTACAACCTGCACAGATATAAGATTTCTCGTGGTAAAAGACATGATAGTCATAGTCAGTTTAACACAGATTTTCGAGACATCTGTCTAGCCATTTTTAAATAAACAATAATTTATTCAAAAGTACATAACTAAAATAGACCAAATTGGGTAATCTACTAAACTTTTCTAGAACAAAAACTAAGGCACAGAAATTAACCATTTTAACACAGAATATATCTCAAGACATTGAGCTTTTAATACATAAGTGTTATGGTCTACCGCGCAGGATGGGGAAAAAGTTATACCATTTCAAACAGACAAAAATGCGTACTTCTTAACCAACACCGGAAAAGTCGCTTCAGGGCCCCGAGCCGGTTTCAGTTTGACTCAGTGTTTTACTGCACTATCGACTCAATTTTGGTCATACCCCCAGCTAGCGAGTTCCAGAAGGCTGCTGAGTCATGCTGACTAAAAGTAACAAAATCGGGCAAAGAGTGACACCGTGTCTAAGACAACCACTTTCCTCCTACACAATGGGCGGCTGTCGGAGACAATTTCCACAGTGCATTATTTTACTTGGAAATAATAAATGTTTTACACTAGCACTGACACAATCCGGTATGTAGTATTTCTAGACCAGCAGCTATGACCTTGCTGACCCGAGTGGGATACAAAATACCAGTAGAAAAGGTGGAAATGCTCAGAAGAAAAGCTTACTCACTTAAGAATCAAACTTTTAAGTCTTTTGCATGCAAGGGTAGAGAATCTATTGATTACATCATAGATGCCAGCGATTAATTTGTCATTTTTCTCTGAAGTTTGGCAGGAAATAACAAAAGAAACCAACTTTAATTAACGGGGAGGCAAAAAGACTCAGTGAAACTTGGAAGCCAATGTTCTCAATCTCCACAATTTCCAAGTTACCTCAATCAAAATTGCCTCTTCACAGGCAGAATTTTCACTTTGAGCACAGAAAACCTGCAGTCTGTCCAAATCATGAGACCAACGTATACAAAAGTATGGTTCACAAATCAGTGGATGCTCAGGGTCGCTTCTGCCAATTGCTGTGTGTCCGTTCACTTGTATCTCACCAACACCCCACTGAAAACCATAAAAATCGAACAATTCACTTAAATATAGGACCCTATTTTCAAATAAGAAAAAAGGTTGCTACTTTTTAAAGGTAAAATAGCACCTCCAACAAAGAGAATAGATTGTTCGAAGAACAGAATAATGATTGTTTTTACTGAAGAAATTTTCAATGTTTGGGCAAGGAGTTAAGTGCAGTACAAATGAACTTTCAGACTTTTTTTCTTAATACAATAGTCTCTACTTAAGATTCCAATGCTAGGGAGCAAGGAAAATGCAAGTTCTTAGGCAAACAGGATCTAAGCTGAATCATCAGAGGGAAGAATCTATACAGTGACTCGTGGTCAGGCCAACAATAAGTAAAAGGATCTCCTTACTTTCAAATGAACTGAGGTGACCTTTATAACCAACCTTATGAGAAGCAAAGACTGGTTCACCTTGAGACCAATCACAATCATCTCTTCTTGATATAAAGCATACCACTTTCACATTATACATCCAATCGTGAGTCTCAAGATCTAGGTCAATCCCATTGTCCCAACCTTTAATCTGTCCAAAATCTATAACAGCTTTCCATTTCTGAACAAGTTCCCTGCTCAGGATATAATTCATCACTGTGTTGTGACCACACCAATTGAAATTCAAAGAATGAAGAGGCAGGCTGACTGCCAAAAGATGACCACAATACTCCAACTTTCCAACCAACATCCCAACTCAAATTAGCCAAAAACTGACATCTACTTTTTTTCCCCTTGTGCCTTTCATATAATATAATTATAATAAATATGGGGGGGGGGGGAAGATACTCAAAGAGAATGGGAATGAGATCTATTCAGTAAATCTATTAAAGTTGTCATCTCAATCATCCTTGTCAAAACTCACAGAAACATTGACCAGTCCACCATAGGGCAAAAGGGCCAGTCTCTTCAGTCCCAAGAAGTTGCAATTCACCAGCACTTGATTGTTTGAGAGAAAGAATGAGCACATGAAATAAATTATTTCTGAAAACATTTTTAACATAATGACAAAAGCAAAGTAAATACTCAAACATCCAATACACAAAAATAAAAAAATCAACGTCCAGAGATGAGAGGAAAAACAGATTAAATTAACAGTTTAGACCAAAAAAAACCTTCTAAATGGGGAAAACCAAGGAAGTGTAACAAAAGAATCATGATACATGATTTTATAATGTATGAAATAACATAACATTAAGAATTAGTTCTCAGATAATTCTTAATATTCCTCCAAAAATCAAATTTAACAAAATTCTATACAGTCGATTATCCCTTTCTCTTAATAATTAAAAACAAATAACTGACAAGATGAGGTTGACAGCAATTAAGACAACAGCAGTGCTACTCTACACAATAGTAGGATGCCCTGAAGCAGGTATTATGTTATGGTGATCTGCTCCACCTCTTTTTTCTTTTTTTTAGTAGAGGTTTTACGGTGCCAGAAGATTAGAGGTGTTACAAGAGAGTAACAAACATAAAAAAAAGAAGGGGAGATAAGGAGGACAGATGTTTAATAGAAAAGAAGGAGCAAACCACACCAGAGCACCCACCAACCACCCACTCTGCCTCCTTTGTTTGTATGATGAGTAGGGGGAGACAAAGAGAAAGAGAGAGAGAGAGAGAGAGCGAGAGAGAGAGAGAGAGAGAGAGAGAGAGAGAGAGAGAGAGAGAGAGAGAGAGAGAGAGAGAGAGAGAGACATGTTTAGCTCACCTTTAGTATATGCATGTTTATAGGACAGGTCCCATCCCTTAACACTTGTCACTTGAAAATCTGGCATCACAATAGAAATTAAAAATAAACTATGAAATTGTTAGGCAACAAAAAATATACAGTCTGGTCCACTTGACGGTTTGTAGGCTATTACTAAATTTAGGCAAGCACTACACCAATACCATTGCAAATAGATTAGTCGTAGTTAGATAATTACTGAACCTGTAAGAGCAACCAAATGTTAAATAATATATTATCTTATTTTAAAGAGTCATAATATAATATCATAAAGTTGATTTTGGGCCTCATTTGTCACTTGTAGTCTGAATCTGAGCATAGTGACCCGGGTATCTTATGTTCAGGCTCAAGTCCGAATCACATCTCACGGCGCATGAACTCAGCCGAAATCGGGCCTTTCAGCTGCACCGCAGCTCCCACTGTCCGGAGGTGATCAATCACTCCGCGGGGTACCTGTTGACCTTTTTTAATTGGGGTCATTTGACCTCTTCACACCATTATAAACTGGGGTGCGTTCTTGATAAAATAGTCTCATTTACTATCTCAATTGCAGTGGTGCCTTTAGACCCACCCAGTAGTTTTCATTTATATAGACTTTAGCAACACCATTTCTCCTCCTCTTAAAGAAAGTCCCAGTCTTCTACGTTTTACACCTTATGTTCTACACGTGTCTGTTTGCCATCTGTGTAACACGCTTTTCTAATTTCAAACTGAGGATAAATAATCATCAATTGTGACAAGACGGTGCATTGAATTTTTGGGGGTTCGCATGTGTGTGTTCATTAACATACCCTGTTTTAAGTGTGTACATTTCAGTACTACCGCAGTTGTGGTTGTTAAGCTACATTGGATTAGTATGTTGGGCCCGCGAATTGACTAACATTATTGCCGTATAAAACGAAGACCTTAAAATGGAGTACACCCCTGAAAGTCATGTATCCGCTTTAAACAGTCTGTGTAGAGTGAGCGGAAGATTGAACATAACAGGGAAGCAGAGAAAATCCCTTAAAAAGCCATATTTGGGTTAGGAAATACCCAGTGATCTTTTCCTTCGTGTTTAGATTGAGTATCAAAGATAACACTAGTGACAAACATTTCAAATGTATGTGTTTGAAATGCTATAAAACAATCCATGAGGCTAAACCTCAAAATAGTGCAGTGTCCCTTCAAACAATAAGACACACTTTTGACAGCAGTCAACACATCTGGTGAGCTAGCAGTGAAAACTGTGATGCAAAAACGTGCTCAGTCTGTGAACAGAAAAGCAGTTTTTATTCTCAATCATCAATTCAAGCATGTATCTGTTGGGTCGTGCCCTCTTGTTTTTAAAGTAATTTAAGCATAAAACTGCCCCCACCCTCAATCCTCCCACCAATAGAAACAACTCAACAAAACTCAGAAAGTTATCAATGGTGTAGCTGATCATGTGGGCACGATTTACTTGCACGCCCCCCCCCCCCCCCAACCTGTTTCCCACACACACCCCAACCCTCCCCCAGAAATAGTAATAAATTGCGATTGCCATGACAATGCGCATTTGATGGTTGCAAGTGTGCAACGAAATGACTGTCCCCATTCAACCTTGTGGATTAGGAGACTCACAAAATGACCATGTGGTACAAAACGACAGCTGGTACTCTCCTATGTTCAGGCGTCCGGATCACAGGTGTGTCTATCATAATACAGTGGAACTCCAAGTAACGTTATAATGTATTCGACTTTCTTAGTCAAAAGTAGTTTGGTTTTAAATGAGAGGCATTTTCGTTTCTTTTGATGCCATTTGCCTACTCACTGAACTCATTATGACACACTGTTTCGTTCATAACTATTATGACAAATTTTACTTTTGGCCCCTAAAATTTACTTAATATTGTTCTGTCTTTCACATAAAATGGTTTTCATTTATGAGACTTTCCTTAAAATATGATAGATTCCTTTAAGTAGGGAGAATTCAAAGTTTATTTCCTGAAAAACCCTTAGAATACCTTTAAAATGGTTCGTTCATAACAATTATGACAAACTTAAATTTTGCTGAAAACTGCTGATTGGTCGCATAAGATTATAAACAATAGGCTAAGCGAATAACGGTTCACAATGTAGATGCCATAGGTGGCTTCCAGGAATAGAAAATGTTCGTTGTAGGAGAAAAATGAGCAAAGCCACGTCAGCAGGGCGACTACATTGAATTCGAGCTTGCTCATTTAGGCTATGTGTTCGATGAATCAGAGTTTTTTTAATAGATTTGTATGATGAATAGAAAAAAACACGGAAATCAACTTCTTAATCCTGTTGTCGAATCCAAGTTTTCATTGAATCCGGGTTCCACAGAATCAAGGAGAATACATGTCCTTACAAACAGAACGTCAATATATGACCTTTGCGTATGCGTTACTCGTAAGCGCTTTCGGTGAAGTGTTATATCTAGGTCAGAAGTCAGAGAACAATGATGGTTGATGTCAACAATGCTAAAAATTAAAGCCTTGTAGGCGTAATCAACATGCAACTACACAGTTGGTGTAAAGAGGGCTACAATTGGTTGAAGCTTTGACCCATTCAATACATTAAGTACTGTAGGCTTTACACTTTACAGTACTCTGAGAATTCCCGGTTTCAGTCTCACGCCTTTGACCGTCTTCTCACAGCGGGTTTGGAGCATCATAGAAATGGAAGAGGAAGAAGAAGCAGGAAGAGCATGAGGAAGAGGAAGAGGAGGAGGAGGGGGAGGAGGAGGAGAACAAGAAGAGAAGATCGAAGAAATAGAAGGAGAAGAGGAAGGAGAAGAAGAAGAATTTAGTAGTAATACATCATGCATATTACAAAATGGAGACTTTTTCGTTTGTTACCCTACCTTGAGAGAGAGAGAGAGCGAGAGAGAGCGAGAGAGAGAGAGAGAGAGAGAGAGAGAGAGAGATGTCTGTGAGCCATGATTACGTCAACAAAGGAGTCGGCGAAGGTGACTGTGTGAGGCTACTGTTGTGAAAGTGAAAAAGCGAAGGTAAACACACGGCTGCAGAAGTGAAAACGAAACTAAAACTTGTGGTTTGGCATTTCACCTGAAACGTGGACGAGTAACACATCCACAAAAGCCATGTATAACATTGATGTTCTGTCTGTAAGCTAAGCCTAAGGCTTAGTACTAGTAGTAAGGCTTAGGCTAAGGGCATTATAATATATAAGTGAGATTAAGTCCTAATATCACTGGAAATAGTGGAAAATGATGCATGAGGTTAGATCTTACAAGATGTTTCTGGATGCTATTCAACATTTTTACTGCTTGAGACAACACTCTTCAATTACCTTTCTTGCACAGACCTTGCCAAAGAGTTTCAATTTCTGAAACTTCACGACATTTTCTGCATACTGAACCAAATGTAGCTAAAGACCGAGAATCTAAAAACGCAGAAATATGTTGAAGCATTTCAGCAGGCAGTTCAGTGAGATTCATTGTGTTTTTTCAAAGACAACAAGCAAACTTTTTTTTGTCGAACGGTGAAATAAAGAAAAGACGCCAGAGGGAAACAACTGTCCAGTCCAGCGTCTTTTGGACAGCTTCTCTTCCAAACTGCAAAGTGTTTTTGTTTACTGTTTACGCAATGTTACTTTTTTCATACTTTCTCGGTAAAGAGCTTTTTAAAGAGATCCTATGGTCGGAATTTTGTATCGCATTTTAATTGTTCATTAAAAAAGTTGTTGACACACAATTTTACGACGAAGCCTACCACATGAACAATAAATAATTTTATGGTAGAGATGAAAGAGTATGTGACTTTAAATTCTTTCTGAGCCCGTTGGCGAGGAATAAAGTGGTTGTGTTAGGCAGGTGGACGTCTTGAATTTGAATAGTGATTATTTTTGTTCACTGCAAGAATAATATACGGATTGGTACGATTGTTTAATGTCACAGTTTAATAATATTATGTCCATGACAGTGTTTCTTGGACAAGTGACCAATAGAGCAAGATGTAGGCTCAGTATCACTCCTCACTTCTCACGCAGGAAAAATGTACGTAAATACACTGGACATAAATTGAACAATAGCATAGGCAGAACATTATCCACCCAACAATGTGCAGATGAAAAGAACGGCCTATAGCAGGCCAGGCTCGTTGGTGCAAGCACACAACATGCAACAGTTAGGTGAGAGGGCAACAGAACTCTGCCAAGACCTCCGTATAGTATTCTTTAATCAATTTAAAGCATTTGACAAGTCAACGCACAGTGACGCGTGCATATGACCTTATGCAGTTGGCGCAGTAAAACCCTATACTAACTACAACGTACAGTGACAGACTATGGAAGGCCCTCGATAAATAACAAGTGGGCTGCTCGATAATATTAGGCTAGGCGGCAAGCTACATCGACAGCAACAGTGTATGCCATGCAAGTGGAACATATTACTAGCTCATGGTTCCATACTATGTTGCATCTGGAATAAGATTTGTACTCTTCCCGTTGCCCTTTAATTGTCTACGTGTAATTTACCAAATGGTTTAACACTCCAAGGAACAATTCAAAAATGATTCCAAGTACAAGATCAGGGTAAGACAAGGATGTGTACTACGCCTTATTATTAACGGTTGTTTATAACATACAGTAGCATATATAGACCGAAAAATTATAACAGCAGAAACTACACCAGATACGACACAATCAAACAAGCTTCTTTTTTTTTCTTGCCGACGATCAGAAATATAATATAGTGACAACGATCTCGAGAACACCCTCCAAGAACAAGTAATCAAAATTAACAAAAGCAGCAAGAGATCACAACAAGAAGACTAGAATTACAAGCAAGACTGAGTCGATGCATGGACACCAGCAAAAATTAATCCCACAAAACATCAGAGCCGGCAACAGCATTATCAAGAAATTTGAAGAGTTCAGGCAAATACAATATAAATGTACCTGGAAGTGTGTTTACCCAAGACAGAAAGATAGGCAGAAAAATATATAGAAACCAGAATAAAAAGGTCAATAGCTGTGAATTATAATTACCGACTGGCACCTAATTCACTTTCAACATCCCAACATCACAATGGAAATAAAGCGCCAATTACTAAACCGCATCTTCATACCAACACTCTGTTATGCAAGCCCAAACATGTAAAATAAACTAGTCACCTAAGTAAAAATCAATTACATGTACTTTAATCTTTAGTTTAATTTCAGTCGAGGTTTTACGGCGCTTGCAACTGCACAAGGTCATGAGCGCCAAAAATTCAACGACTGAAATGAGATGCTAAAAAAAACTTCGAACATCACTTTAAGGTGAAGGGGGTGGGG